TGGTATTATTGACGACCACCTCAAGCGGTATGGTATGTGCGAACACATTATGGCTACTATTATTCATGTGGTTATTGGTTGCGTAATGAGCTTGAAATATGTTAGCCCCGTACAGTTCACGGCTGACCAGGGTATAGGTGCTGACCAGTATGACAAACGGCCCGATCAATAGCAGTATGAGTAGCAGTAAGTTGAATAGCTGTTCACTAGCACCGGATGGCCACACCTCTCGGCACTTGTATTTGCCTAACGTATGCATAAATGTATGCAATTATGTTATTCAATGGGAAATGAAGTATAAATATTTAATTAAATTAGCATTGTATTAATTTAGCTTTACCCATTGTATGTCACAAATATTGTAAACACCTTTGTCATTGTGATTTAAAATCTATTGATACGTAAATTATTTGCATTTATAATAGTTTTTAAAAAACACTGAAATTATGTTTAACTTATGGTAATACCTGCTTGCTTAGTGAACAAAGCTATTTTATAAAATGTTCAATTTGTAAGTAAATTGATCTGACTATTTGTATACATGGCTTAACTGTTAACATTTTGTTGTATTTAATAATTTGTTTTTCATTTATATTAGTGAATGAATTCTTAAACAAATCTGATACAGTATACTGTACTACAAATTTCTATTTATATACAATAAATTTACTTTAAAATCCAAATTACATAACAAATATATGTATGTTGAGGTATATTTTAACAGTATTACCTAGCTCATTACAGATGTATTACAGGTTAGGGTATACTGTATATGGTAGAGCATACCTGGTGTCTGAATGGGCAACAGTTCTGATAGTATGGCGATGGGACTCATGAGTACAATATTGCCGAACCATATGATGGCAATCACACGATACGAGTGCGACAATGTCTGCCACTGACGAGACTTCAGGGGCTGACAGATTGCGAAATACCTTTCCAACGATATAGCTACCAGTGTCCACGCACTCACGCCTACTGATATGGCTATGGAGCATAAAGTATAAAATAAATAAAAATTATTTCACAATAATTTAATGACATGCTAATTATTTTAAATATATTATAACGTGCACTTTAAATTTCAAATAAATTAAATGAATTTTATTTTTTTAACTCGATAAATATTTAATAAGCTTATATTTTACAATATATGTGGACTTGGAACACATTTCGGGGACTTTTGTATAGCATAGAAAATATATTCATGTAGTGAAAAGCTTTAAATTCCCGCTTACGATTACACATTTAAAAAACTCACCTTACTCATTCATACGAATACATTAATTAATGTTCAATGTGTAATCGTAAGCTGGGAATTTAAAGCTTTTCACTACATGACTATATTTTCTATGCTATACAAAAGTCTCCGAAATGTGTTCTAAGTCCACATATACAGAAAATTTTGATTAATAT